TTTTGGCAAATCACTGAACCCAAGAGACACAGAGGATCTAGGAAAGTGAGAAAAGGAGCTATTGATGTCAGAAACTACGGACTTACACGTCAGGCCAAGCGTTTGGGGTAATATTGACCTGACACTTCTTACAAGTGGTTTGGTACTAATCTTAGCAGACTGAATTATTAAAGTATTACTCTGATACTTTTTTAATAGTTCTTTCTGCTAGGTACTCAAGAACATCAAAGTCAACTTTTCCAACAAAAATTTGAAGAGAAGAATTAAAAAAAATGTAGCATAAAGTGAAGGGAAATTGCAAGAGAGAAAAAAAAAGTATCTTCTCTTCAAAAGTTACAAGATGAAGTTAAAGCTGAATCAAGAACCCTTTCCTGAAAATTACCAAGAAAAACTCCTTCATTCTTGGTGCCACATCATTCTTGAAACAAAGACATTCCAAACACCCTCTAGCCCTAGCCCCTCCTTTCACGCACAAGTCAAATTAGCAAACTGAGTAGGAACAAGACTGAGAGGTCAAAACCTCTGACGAACAGGGTGAGACACAGGCATGGCCCTTTCCTCAGAAATAAAAACCTGAGCAGATCTTCCCCCATAGGTCTCAGACTTGGGTCTGCCCAAGCAACCTTCTGCAAAAGTAAAATGCTTTGCTAAGATCTTCTGGTATGTTTCTGTCATGGCACAAAGCCATGTTTCTAACAACAGTTCCTGGGAAGGCTGGTCTGGGAGCACTCAGGCACTGGTCTGTGCCCCCTAAGCTCCTGGCCTCCCCATCACTGCCTCCCTCTATAGGATTGGTCTTTCCTCACCCTCATCCCCCAGCTGTGTCTGTCCCTCATGTCCCCGGGGGCTGTCCGTCCCCAGCTGATGCCTCATCACACAGGCTGCACATAGAAGCCACTCAGCACTAAGGCTGCCCAGTGAGAGTGGGTGCTTAGACACCCTGAGCCCCCCAGCACTCATCTCCCCTGAGTGGTTCTCAACGTCCATCACACTGAGGGTCAAGGCTTGGGCAGGCCAGCCTCCACCACAGGAGCCTTACAGCAAGGCCACAGCCTCTGATACTCCCAGCTCAGAATGAACCTGTGGGCCGCAGCCCCCAGACTACCCTAGGCTGAACAGCCACGTGTGTGCCATGCACGTCAGCACAGAGCCCTGCCCACAATGGCCACTTACATGTGCTGTGGTCTCTGGAACCTGGTCCAGACCAGAATGTGCCTCCTGTGTGTGCTGCGGCCCCTGGAACTCTCCCCAACCAACTGTAACCTATACATACTATGGCCCCCGGATCCCCTACACACCAGCACAGGCCTCCTGCGTGTGCCACAGCTCCCACGATGAGTCTATATGGAACAACCATGCATGTGTGACACAGATGCCAGCATGGAGCCCAGACCACAGGTGTGGGACCTGTGTGCCGTGGGCCCTCCATACCCAGCCCAGAGAGGAACAGCCCCCTGCATGTGCTGTAGACACTCTGAGAAGTGTCTGGTCGTCTCCAAGAGGACACAACCTCTTCATCCACCTAGAGGTGAGTCTGACCAAATTACCTACACTGTCAAAGCCCTCCTAAGGTTCACTTGGTAGATCTCACGTGCTTCCCAAACAAGGCTCCCCAGAACCCTGTTTCTCCTAGTAGAGATGAGCTCTCTCTGTGTTAGGGACTAAATTTGGCCCTGGGCTAGGGGACAGTGAGTCTGGAGTGTCAGAATGCTTGAAAATTGGCTTTTCTAACCATTGCATTAGACCTCGTTTGAAGAGCATGATCCCCAACTACCTTAACTGCAGACACATGGTCGCAGAAATCATCAACAGCTGTGGGACCAATATCAGAGAGTTTTCCACACTGTGGAAAACCACAGTGATGGTTTAAGAGACTCTGTAGAGACTGTGGTGAGAAACCCTGAAGATGAAGGTCACGGTCAAAGGTTTTACTTTGCTGCATGACTGAATGAAAAGCTGATCTGTAACTGCTCTAAGATAAAGTTTCCTGTGTGACTGAGGAAACCAGAGGCATCTTACATCAGTGCTGCTGAACCTAACCTGGGCTTTGATTAATTGAGGAATTGTGCCTTGTTAATCTGGTTTGGGACCACTGGACTAAACCTGGACTTGCCTTCTCCACTCCTCAAACTATTTCCCCAATAAAACCTCACAGCTGGGAGTAAAGTCTGTGAATCCTATAATGAAAACTGGATCCAATGATTGGTAGAAATAGGTGCAGGAGCATGGAGGGTAGCCTGTCCGACCTGGTAGATATTTTGGTACTATGGATGTTATAGACAGTTCCCCTTTATGAAGAGGGTAGAAGCCAGGCTTGGCCACCCTCATGCCGCAGCTAATCCTTGTACAGAGTTGGTTTGGTGTTGTTTTTTTTTTTAATGTCACTATTTTTTGTGTGTACCGTCAAATCAGATCTGACTGGTACAGGAGGACATTGTTCCTCCTTCTCTAGCAGAGCATCTGGTAGATTTGAACTGTGCACCTCTGAGCCAGAGTTTGTTTTAAAAAGCCACACACACAGTGGAGCTCTGTTTTGGCCGCCCTAGGAGACTGAGGGGCTGTGACATGTCCTTGGGCTTTCCCATTTCCTGTAGATTTTCTCAGGACCTCAAATGCTCTCAGTAAGTTCTCATCACAGGTGACAGAAGCCTCCACATGCCGTGGCATGTAGGTCAGTGCTCCCCAGGTGGGGTGGGTGCTTTCCAGGCTGAGCCAGTGCTCCCCAACTTGTTCCCATGCTGGAGTCTGGTGTTGCCCAGGCTAGATTAATGCTCTCCAGCCTGGGTGAGTGCTCCCCAGCCCGGGTGACTGCTCCCCAGCCTGGGTGAGTGCTCCCCAGCCTGGGTGACTACTCCACAGGCTGCATGAGTGCTCCCCAGCCCAGGTGAGTGGTCTCTAACCGGGTGAGTGCTCCCCACCCAGGGTGAGTGCTCCCCAGCCCGGGTGACTGCTCCCCAGATCGGGTGAGTGCTCCCCAGCCCGGGTGACTACTCCCCAGCCTGCATGAGTGCTCCCTAGCCTGGGTGAGTGGCCCCTAACCCAAGTGAGTGGTTCCCCAGGCTGGGTCTCTACTCTCCAGCCCGGATTAGTGCTCCCAAGTCCAGGTCAGTGCTCCCCAGGCTTTGGGGTCATGAGACTCTTGTTTTCAGGTCACTAGGCACCATCTGGAAAGCCCTGACTACAGGCTCAAGTCCAAGCTTCTTGGCAGGACATAGCCATTCATCATCCCAACCCTTGACCTGTCCAGGCTCAGGTCACCACCTCCTCCTCCTCCAGGCTCAGGTCACCACCTCCTCCTCCTCCTCCTCTCCACTCCAGTTTACAGCCACTCATCACTCCACTGCGGACGGCCCAGAGAACAAACAGATACATGTTGGAGAGAGTGCAGCCAGAGTGCTCCCTGGAGGCAAAGCTGACAAAGTGTCATCTCACATACTCCGGGCGTGTTGCTAGGAAAGGTGATTCCTTGGAAAAGGACATCATGCTTAAAAAGGTGGAGGGATGGTGAAGGAGAGGAAGACCCTCAACCAAGAGCAACCACCACCAACAGATTGCAGCACTGGGCTCGGGTGTTTCAGACTATGAGGACGGCACAGGACAGGGTTCAGTTCTTGTCCACAGGTCACTGTGAGTCACTCGACTTGACAGTACCTAACAACGTCACTTCATCCCTGACCTGCACAGTCTGGGGACACCCTCTCCTTCTCCCCTCCACACCTGCACTGCCCTCCACTTGGAGCCTTGACTTTCCCCAACGCCTCTCACTACTGTCCATCCTGGAACATGGACACATCCATCTAGATCCAGGTGACCCACAGCCCATGGTCCCCGCGGTACTCCCAGGGGAACTGTCCTGGCAACCACTGTGCCCCTGAGATCTGCCTGGGAGTGGACAAGCGTCCACTGCTCTCTGTGGCCAAGAGCTGAGCTCTGGCCAGGACGGCACAGGCCTCAGCGTGGACTCACCAGCACAGGGCACTCCCTGCCTTCCTGCTGACCAGACAGTGGTTCTGCAAGATTCCTCTCCATCTTGAGGTCACCTGCAAGGCCACCGGTGGAGAGGTCCAGGCAGAGCAGTAGGACAACAACCCAGAACACCAAGCCCTGCCAGTGAACCAGTTCTGGCTCACGGCGCTGCTGTGGGCCTCAGAGAACGAGCCCTAGAGCCCAGCTGGCCCTGGCTCTGACGACACCATGGGCCTCTGAGCAGAACGGGCTCCCAGGACTTTCTGCTGTGGACGCTCGGGAAGGCCGCCGGGCCTTTCTGCAGTGGATGCTCGAGAAGGCCGCCGGGCCTTCCTCTGAGGCGCCTGCAGAACTGGACCTGCACCATTCTGTCAGGAGCTGGAGCCACACGGAGGCAGGAGGCCCATGAGTAGAACCAGAGGCTCTGCCAGCAAACCTGACTCACAGCCGCCTTCAGGACTGACAGCCGCTACCCTGCGCACGGGCTCTGAGCCTGTGGCCTCACAAGGAGCAGACTGCCTCATTCCCCGGGAGAGGCTGCGGGTCCAACATCTGCCCCGATGCATAATCCCCCGCACCACCAGGACATCTCTCCTAGGTAAAACCACGGACTGGTTCCGGGCATCACCTCACTGCAGGAAGCAGGGCACCAGGAGATTCTCCAGCCACTCTCGGGTGGGCGCGTGCAAACGGCCAGATGTACCCAACAGTCAAACACCAAGGGCCCGGGGTTCTCTAGGCTGAAGGGCCTGAGAAGTTGGTTCTCTCTCCCCCTCCAGGCCCTCATGACCTCCTTAGAGAGAGGAGAACGGCCAGAGCCCCCAGCTCGGCGTTCCCAGGACAGATGCCTACTTGCCTGCACTGAACAAAAAGGTCACTTGGATACGCAGTTCCCCTTGGACTGAGCGATTCTGGGGCAGGTTCACCTTACTGTGCCTCAGTTTCTCAGCCCAGGTCGTTACCCCTGGCACCCAGGGAGGTGGGCCTCGGCTTCCCAGGAAGGCCCTCCCGCGCCCCTGCCCGCCCGAGCTTACCCGACGGGCAGGCTCCCTTCTGCAGCTGGCGCACGGGCGTCCCCGAGAGCTGCAGCGCGCGGCGACTGGCTGCCTGCAGCGCGCACACGTCGGCGTAGGTGTGCCCGTCGGTGCCGCACACGGCGTGCGCCCAGCGGCAGCGGCAGGCTCCGCGCGTGCACTGCAGGCTCTCCCCGCACGGCGCGTCCAGCGGGCCTCCGCACGGCTCGCCCTCGCCCGCCGCGCACACCAGGCAGCAGTTGCAGTGGTCCGGCACGTAGCCGCCGGGGCAGCGGGGGCTCGGGCAGCGCGACACGTCGCAGCGCGCCGGGCACGACGCCGCCTG